TTTTTTTTTTTCGTAACTACAATCCAATTCTTCGCTTGCGCGATGCGAGAAAACCTGTTTAACCGGTACTACAATAGACGAGTACAAATGCCGCGTGATATTTGTACTCGTCTAGGTGTAGGTGGATAATAATGTCGAATAATCCCCTCAACTTCGTCTCGGGGATTATTGGAGGATATTCACCTCGCCCTCGGCGGATAATTGTTAATGAGACCGTCGAAGATTGGATGGAAGAATTGATGATGGTGATGGAAGGGGGGAGGGTGATAGTTTGAGGCAGAGGATGTACTCTCACGGTGAATTAGAGGTTATGGAGGCTTTAGATTGTCACTCACCTAAACTTCCATCATACTCCCCGATAAAACGTCTGGTCAGGAATCGGACAGTGAGAGCTGAAACGGAAAAACAATCCAAGAGATAGTTTACTGGATAGATAAGCCTTGGTTTATGCATTCCTAATATTGCATCAGTTTTGTTATATATTCTATCATAATGATCAAGACGTATCTGCTATGCATATATTATGTAGTACCTAGTTTGAAATTTTATCTAAAAAGTACTTTCTTTCAATTATAATAATTTCTAATTTATGGAATTTGTTAGTCATATTCTTAGGAATCTAGGTATTAAGAACGGCGACAGTGTCACCAATTGTCTATTTTACAGTTGCGTACTTAGTTGCTAAGCCTTTGAACAGGATTAAGGCTAATGGTGGCATTGTTAAGATGATACAAACGTTGCTGCTTTTTAGATGTAAATTAATTTTGATGTCATGCCAACTAGATGCTGGTCTCCATCACAACAAGGTCACCTTCAGCCTCACTCCAAATCAAAGGCTTGGTAACTAAGAACACAACTGTAAGATGGCCTGTTAGTGGTTCTGAAACTCCTTCAGACTTGACACTCATAAAAAAATTTTCTTTTTTATCTTATGTACCAGTCAATCAAGGAAAATGAAAGAATTTCAATCGTTCAGATGAACTCAAAAGTTGCCAGAACAGCCTCCTTCAAGAGGAAATTGAAGTCTGAGCGAGACCAAAACTTAAATCACAGGAGAAAAGTCCATAGCTGCTCAGTCTGAGAGCAAGTATGGTGGACATCCAGACCTGTTTGTCTGTCTAAACTTTCTTTGTTTCTTTAAAGCAAATATCATAGCTGTTCCCTTAGGGCAATGACAAAAAAAGTCATGCGATACTTTCGTTAACGAAAAGATTGCGTCTTAAAGTCAAGCCGTTTCGTTTCAGTGTTTTGTTTTGTTTTGTTTTTTTTTTTTTTGCCGAAATGGTTGAGGGTTCAGTTGCCGTTTGACGATCAAACTCTAAGACGTTGACCTCGAGAACTATAGCATAGGAAGAGGAGGTACTCTGTTTCAGCGTTGAAGTATTAAAAGCTGATGATCGTTAAGATCCGTTTGTATCACGTAGGCCATGCTATTTTAACTAAAATCACCATATACCCGCTTCGGCGGTGGAGAGCCTATATATCCTCTCTAGTGAGGTTTGCATTTTGACACTGGCTTTTATTTACATACATGTAGTTCCTAGCTCTTCAGTTTACTCGCATGGTTTTGAACATGAAAAAAACCTTAAGTGTCACGTATCTATACAACTTAGTCATTTAGAGAACACTGACAATCTGAAAATACCCTTCATGTCAGCACGCACTGGATAGATTGCTGCACACTTACAAATGTAACATAAAAGATCCAGCATCGTGCGTTTGTACTGTATGCGGGTGAAGTTGCTTTAGAAAGCTATCTTGCTCAATTTCAGTCTCGTCTCTTTTTTCGTTGTAAATCAGTTTAAATGATTGAATCAGTTTTATACACTGTGTTACACTATTTCGTATACATATGATGCACGATCCTCGCAGTAGATAGCGCTATTTAAGCAATAGCGAAAATCAGACCTGAAAAAAATCAGGCCTGTACGGGATTCGAACCACTGACCTCTGCGATACTAGTGCAGCGCTCTACCAATTGAGCTAACAAGCCAACTGGGAGCAGGCCGTTAAGTTGATTCGGGGAAGGGTTTTTTAAAATTTGTTTCTTCTGTTTTTAAATTATTATTGCCATAGTGTCTTGCTATTTGTACTACCCGTATATTGTAATTGGTGTGCAAATCTTTAAATAAATAAATGCACAATAACATGGCCGGTTGAATTAACGAGCGCGCGTTTCCCAACGATAACTTTCCTAATAAGACTCTTCCGGGTCATGCACATAGCAAGGTTGTAAATATAAGTGTAATT